ATAGTATACAATACAGTTTTTAAATTCTCTTTGTGATAATCTTATCCTGAGTGATCAGGAGAAAGGAAAGCAAGTGTCAGCCTGCATCTGGAGAAATGTTCACCAAACTTTATTATGCTTAAATAACCTTGAAAAAGAAAACAAAGTGGCACTGAAAAATGTCTAGAATTAAATATTAAGTTTTGTTTTAAATGTACAATAATCCAGAAATAACTTTGTATAGGTCAGGAATCCTTGACCAATGAAATAGTTTGACTTCTCTAAATAAGATAGAGCAACTGAGACAATAAAAATTAGATCAACACTCTTATTTCTAAAGAAAAAGGAGCCCATCAATGAGCAACATTTCACACAAGCTGATGTAGAATCCTTGATTGAATCCCCTGTATTAAAATAAAGGGGTGGTTAGGGAATGTAGAAGGCATTTTAAGAGGCTTAAGTCCCAGATAGAGAATGAGGCTTATTTAGTGCACATCCTGCTTGTTCAGATGACAGCTGGGACTCAGTTTGACACCAATGACTATTTCCATCAAAAAAAAAAAAAAAAAAAATCCAAGCAAATAAGTCTAAACTGAAATTAGAGCAGCCAAGCTAGAGTCTATGAGGGATTATAACTCTCCATTATCAACCACATCTATCCTGAGAGAGAAGACTACATACCACTTGAACATCCATTTTTGAATCTGGGAATTATAGGGTGAAGGTCCTTAGTAGCAAATCTTTTCTTCCCTTACTGTCCAGAACAGCCAATAGATGGATCATTTTTTCTATGTAAAATTTTTTAGTGTTCAACACCATCAAAGCATATGGGTAGGCAAAACCAGGTAGATGGTCTAGAAGCCATTTTGCTCATTTAGTTCATTTAGGTCAGTCTCATCTTTTAGTCTTTTTCATGTCTCTACCTATCATGGCATCTTCATAACCACCAATATTATCATGTTCCTAAAATTTTTGTAAGCAGAGTTCTAAATTTCTAAATGTCATAACATAATAGTGTGGCAAAATAATATTTCTAAATATGCACTGAAGCCCCTCAGGCCCTCGATGATTTTGTATTGTTCCTTGATCCTTCCCTAGACTTATTAGAGCACTGAAAATCAATGTCTCAGGAAAGAGAGACACAAATAGAAAAGCAGCTTATCCAAGAAAAGATTTTGATAGTTCACACTGCTATTCCCAAAGAGAACTTAATGCTGAATAAAATTTTAAGTACCTGAAATGATACATTTACAACTCCCTGAAACAGATAAAATTCTTAGGATAGAGAAACACAAAATGGAAGGAGTAGATACAGAATCATTGTGGACCCCAGAGAAAGAAGGAATCCAGACCCTAATAAAATACTCCAGATAGCTTTAGGGCATCTGAGAATGGAAAGGACTTGTGTTCCCCTTTCCAATGTATTGGTGTTGGCCAAAAAGTTCGTTCAGTTTTTCCCATAAGGTGGCTCTAGTAGCTAACTTCATTTGAAAACATTTTGTTAGAATGTATTGTGACAGCTGCCATATCAGCGTGCGTTTAAAAAAAAAAAACATCAAAATTGGTGAATTTTTGTGTAGCCATTGTAATATTGAAGATGGAAGAAAAAAGCAACATTTTTGGCATGTTATGCTTTATTATTTCAAGAAAGGTAAAAATGCAACTGAAACGCAAAAAAAAAAGATTTGTGCAGTGTATGGAGAAGGTTCTGTGACTGATCAAACATGTCAAAAGTGGTTTGTGAAGTTTCGTGCTGGAGATTTCTCACTGGACGATGCTCCACGGTCAGGTAGACCAGTTGAAGTAGATAGCAATCAAACTGAGACATTAATTGAAAACAATCAATATTATACCACGCAGGAGGACAGCCGATATACTCAAAATATCCAAATCAACTGTTGGAAAATCATTTACACCAGCTTGGTTATGTTGATCACTTTGATGTTTGGGTTCCACATAAGTTAAGAGAAAAAACCTTCTTGACCATATTTCCGTATAGGATTCTCTTCTTAAACGTAACAAAAATGTTCTGTTTTAAAAACAAATTGTGATGGGCGATGAAAAATTGCTACTGTACAATAATGTGGAATGGAAGAGATCATGGGGCAAGTGACATGAACCACCACCAACCACACCTAAGGCTCATTTTCATCCAAAGAAGGTGAGGTTGTGTATACGGTGGGATTGGAAGGGAGTCATCTATTATGAGCTCCTTCTGGAAAACCAAACAATGAATTCCAACAAGTGCTGCTCCCAGTGAGACCAATTGAAAGCAACACTTGTTACCATCAGGTAATGCAAGACCACATGTTTCTTTGATGACCAGGCAAAAACTGTTACAGCTTGGCTGGGAAGTTCTGATTCATCCGCCCTATTCACCAGACGTTGCACCTTCAGATTTCCATTTATTTTGGTATTTACAAAATTCTCTTAATGGAAAAAATTTCAATTCCCTGGAAGACTGTAAAAGGCACCTGGACAGTTCTTTGATCAAGAAGATAAAATGTTTTGCAAAGATGGAATTATGAAGTTGCCTGAAAAATGGCAGAAGGTAGTGGAGTAAACGGTGAACACATTGTTCAATAAAGCTCTTGGTGAAAATGAAAAATGTGTCTTTTATTTTTCCTTAAAAACTGAAGGAACTTTTTGGCCAACCCAATAGTTTAGAGAAGACAGCAGGACTCCAGGGAAGAAGTGACATCATGTGTGTACCAGCAGATAAGCCTAATTCAAGTGTAAAGTAAAGGCAATGGAATAATCCCCACATCCCACCCTGACTGCAGGATTATCTTAACAACAACAGCAAAACACACAAGAAAATCCACACTCAAAGATCTTACAGTCAAGAGCATTAGAGCATTTACCTATATGATAAATATAGTTATGCTAATCATATACTGGTGAAATCTTTAACAGTCTTCTATGTTTTCGTATCAATATTTTATTGTCTAAGAAAACCAATTGCATACCTTACTTATTTATCAGTTAAACAATCAAACAAAAATGCAACAAAAGTGATGATTCTTGTACCATCATTTATACCTGGCAGTGCCCTTTAAGAATGAACATTGTACAAAAGCTGCCTATGACCTTCTGTGCCTTATAACCTGTGTACATACAGCCCTCTATGGAAAGCTGCTTTCAAGAACTGAAGTCATTCCCAGAACTTTCCACATGCTTTAGGTAGCCAACTAGAACCAGATGGTGTAAAATTCTGAGTAATTTATCATAGGTGAATTCTGCTAAACAATTTACCTCAAACACATTACAGATTGTAATTCTAGGCATCTCAAGCGGCAAACTTTAAATGAACATAGGTTCCTATGGTTTTCTGAAAGATCTCCAGGATCAGACAACCTAACAGAACTGGTGAGTCAAATAACTTGATCCCATTCAGTTAGGATACATTTCTAGTGATGTAAGGTGACTGCAAGAAGTACAAATAGTCCCGCTGTATAGCAGACCAATGTGTGGTTGCCAAATTTGTATTGCAATTCTACCATCTATAACTAAATATTAATTCAAAATTTACACATACTTCCATGTTTTCTTCTGTCTAATTTCATAGATTTTATTTTTTTAACATGGAAACTTGGTCTCAGTGGTTACCTGGCAAAATCTGAGTCATAATCATAAATTATATATTTTTTGTAGAACACATACATTTGTGAAAATAATATGAATTAAAATATCTATATTAAAGTGAACTTAAATTGCTTACCCAATTAATCTTATTCACGTATTTCATTCATGGACTTATTTAAACTTTCTATAAGCTTCCTTGTAAAGTCTTCATTTATCATATAGATCTTCTGTATCCTTGTCACTCTCCCTTTTTCCTTTTCCTTCTCTCCTCTCTCACTCTTTTGCTCTAACTCTGTGTGAATCTGTTTCTTTCTGACTAGCTCTGTCTTTTTAACCATTCAAACTCCAGTCGGGTACCAGAGAAAACATGTTAAGAGGGTAGTTTCAAATTTGTACTTTCTTCCCCTGACCAAAAATCATACAAAACATGTTTATGAAAGCACTTTTATTTTATGTCACCAAAGAAATAAAGGTCATTTGAAGTCATTTTTTAGTTCTAAACACCTTTAATAAAGCAGCTCAAGGATCATTTGTATGTGTATATTTGTAACTGAAGTATATTTTTCAACATCTGATACTCACACAACCTGTGTAAGAATCATCTGTGTACTTTTCTAATATACTGATGTCTCAGATGCTCCTGTGAGAAAGGTGCCCCTTTGGGAAGGAGCAGAGGGATCTGAAAGTTTGGTATGCAGCTCAGATGACCTTTATATACACTAACATCTGAGAAGTGATGAATCTTTCCTCATGTCTTCTTTTAAATACACAGCTTAACAATCACAAGAAACCCTAAAGGTAGAAGACAACATGCTTTTCTAGGCAATCAATTGGTGCAGGGTATTTTATTAAGCTAGAAGGCAAATCTAGAGAGGTTGAGAGAGTCCCCAAGGTCATAGAACTTGAAAATGGTTGAGCAAGAAATTAACCCCAATTCCATCTGATTCTAAAGCTTGTTTCATTCCAGAATCTTGAGCTCCAAACTAAACTAAACTAACTAGTTCTTGGGGGCTTAGAACTCTTAAACTTTCAGAATCCTCTTATTTTTTTTTTAATTTTTATTTTTTTAAGTTGAAGGATTTGGATGAAGTTATTACCCCTGGTACTGTGGAATCTGGACTAAAGTGTAGTCTAGAGAAATTACGACTTGATTGAAGTCACAGAGCTAATGGTAGACCCAGGGAGACACAGTGTTTGAACTCTTATTTAGTGGTTCTTTCAAACTTATTTTTTATAAGTTAAATAATATAGTTATTTCTCAAGTCTTTGTAAATACTGTACATTCAAAATTTTATGTTCTGGCTCTGGTACCACATATAATTATGAATCCTGCCCCCAGATATTATACTATAGTGTGGATTTAAAAAAAAAATAAAAACAGGAACTACATGTAGAGAGTAGAAAGTAGGCAACCAGAAGTCATCTATATTCCTTACCTTTACTATCACTGTGACAGTAGCAATACCAGGTGGCATTGTTCCATAAATATCAAAGGCCTCCACTAGAAAAGTGATACTTGCTTCCTGGTCTGGAAATGCCTCATAGTCCAAACTCCTTAAAAGGGAGAGTTCTCCTGTAAATGGATGTAGTGCAAAAATGTGCTTCACTTCTGGACTTCTTATCCGATAAGATACATTAGCTCCAAGGTCAACATCTTTGGCCTGTAACAAATTAAGAAGAAGAATGGTTATATCACTGCCATTGCCAAAATAAAGAAATGGAGGACTGATGGAAGTCATGTGTCAGTACCTAGAATAGCATGAAATGAATGATGATCAAAAGGCATGTTTCAGAGAGAAACATTTTTTAAAGTAATTTACCAGATAGAGGGAGAGGGAGAGAAAGAAAGAGAACAAGTCAGATACAGAGACCCATGAGGTTTTGTCATTGTTGATCTTGTTACTGTATCTATGTTATTTGAAAAAATCACTAATTAAAAGGATCATACCACAGTAAAGAAATAAATATTGTCATAAATGATTGCTTATTATTTCCTGATGATTGTATAACCATGAAAAATAATACCTTAAATAAAAATAAATATTAGTGTGTGCTTTCCATAAACATAACAGGTTATTAAAGGGCTATATGAAAACGTAAATATGTCTTCTCACAAAGATCCTATAATACATTTCTAGAGATCACTCTATTATGCCTCCCTTCTTTTAACTAATACTTATTGAGTGTGCACAAGGTGCTATAGAGATGCACAAGATGAATACAAACAAGATACCTACCCTCCAGATTACTGTCTCAAAGAAGAAATAAGACAGAAATACCAAAATAAAAGGGATACATGGATGGACCTAGAGATTGTCATACTGAATAAAGTAAATCAGAGAGAGAAAGACAAGTATCATATGATATCACTTATATGTGGAATCTAAAAAAATGGTACAAATGAACTTATTTACAAAACAGAAATAGAGTCACAGATGTAGAAAACAAACATGGTCACCAGGGGGAAAGGTTGGGGAGGGTAGACTGGGAGATTGGGATTGACATATACACACTACTATATATAAAATAGATAACTAATAAGGACCTACTGTACAGCACAGGTCTCTACTCAATACTCTGTAATGGCCTTTATGGGAAAAGAATCTAAAAAAGAGTGGATATATGTATATGTATAACTGATTCTCTTTGCTGTACAGCAGAATCTAACAGAACATTGTAAATCAGCTATACTCCAATAAACATTTTTTTTTAATTCTCATTTCCAAAAATAAAGTCATTAAAGCGAAACAAAAAACAGCTGAAAAAACAGGTTTCAATGGGAAGTCTTATAGATGACTCTTTCATTCAGTAGTAGAGACTGGCAAAGGCAATTCTGGTAGAGGAAATGGAATGGAGCAAGGACAGAGTGGGGAAGGTCAGGGTTTGTTAAAAAATGCATGCAGTAAAGCAAACAACTTTGTGAATGCCAGTCTCGGCCCCCTCCAAACACTTATCAACATCACAATGGGGAAGATACTGTTAAAGCACAGATTTTATGATGTCACCTTCCTGCCTAAAAATTCTTGTTTTCCATTTCATCTTGGATCAACTCCAATCTCGTTAACATGGTGAGAAGGACACATATATTTTCCAGCCCTTTAGCTCCTCACTCTTCCCTCCTCCAGGATTTTGAGCAGGATCTTCCGCTGCCTCGAGTATTCTTTCTTCCCCTTGAATGACTATTATTTGCCCCTCAGTTCACAACTTAGAAATAAACTTTCTCCAGGAAACATTCTCTTTGTTCTCAAGATTAGGTTAAAGAGCCCCACCGGTGATCTCCCAGGTTCCTTGCATTGAGGACCTCTATATTAATTACCAGTTACTTGTCTGTTTGCTACACCAGACTGAAAATTCAATGAAGGCAGGAAATCTGTCTTGTTCATGTTTGAATCCCCAGAGTCTAGCAGAGGACTTGGCATGCAGTAAGCACTGAAAATATGCTTGTTGAATAAAAGAATGAGTGAATGAATAGATGAATAGAAGAATAAATGGAGAAATAATGGCCCTCTCCTTGGCCAGCATCTGCCTTTTTTAGATGTACTAATGTTTGCTGATTAAGTAAACAAATATTGAGTTGAATTATGGAAGAAACACAAGTTTTTGAAATGCATGCTAACAAAATTCAAATTGTAGATTGCAGGTTGAGAAAGGACTATATTTTTTTCTTACAAAATACACTTCATAGACCACCTATGTCAGAATTAAAGAGGTTGTGCTTAAAATGCAGATCTCTAGGCCAATCTAACCTACTGAATCAGAATGTCCAGAGTTTCTGGTAATAATTTATTTGAGGACTGAAAAAAAGAGGCTTAGCTCTGAAGACACTAATAAAAAGGAGAGTTAGACTTCTGGAAGGATGCCAGTTGTATACGGAAAGTGAAAAAAATATTACAAAATAATAGGTACAGCAATATCCTATTTCTGTAAAATATGAGGCAATTCTATACATGTATATATACGTATGAATGTATATATATAGGTACACACTTGCATACATGTATATTTATATATATATGTAAATAGTCATTTGATATTTGTGTGAGCACAAACATAAATGTAACAGAATACACATAAAATTTAATACCAAGTAACTTTGGAGGTACAAGGTGAGAGTCTATTAAGTTTTTTTTTAAATAGTCTCGTATTGTCAATTGTTGCAATAAACATTTAGCATTACTTTTGTAAATTAAAAAGAAATCTGTTAAGAAGTGTTATTCAATTTCTCACAAAGGCAACTTTTCTCCTTTTCAATTTTGGGATATCTCTAAAATAGGGTTGTTAGATAAAGCACAATATGTAATATCTGTAATATGTGAATGCTTATATTCAAATTTACTCGCTTATCTGAAATTGAAATTTAACTGCATATGCTTTTTTCTTTTTTTTTTAAATTTACTAAGTCTGGCAGCCCTACATGAATGTCAAATCTTATACAGAATTCATGAAATAACTGCTTCTTCTACACACCTCTACTTGAAGGAAACTGGTCCCGGCTGGCAGATTCTCTTCAACGACAACAGTATATGTTGAATTGGTGAACACAGGACTATTATCATCAATATCCAAAACCCTGATGGCCAGTGTTAGAGTTGAATGACGAGGGTGTACCGCTCCATCAGTTGCCACAACAACAAGTTCATAGTAGTCCCTGACTTCTCTGTTAAGCTTCACTCTTGTGTAAATACTCCCATTGGATGTGATACGAAAAAGATTATTGAAGTTACCCAAACTGTAGTGTACTTGGCCATTTATTCCAGCATCAGCGTCTGTTGCCTAAATAAAATTAAAAACAAAGGAATTCACATAGTATTCTTTGTTATGATTTTTTCACATTACATTTTGTTATGTTGCCCTGCCAGAAGGGGATAGTTAAAGAATTATGGCATATTTCTAACCAAATATTTTTTTTCTCTAGGGAGAAAATTTAAAAGATAATGACAATGTAGTACAAAAGTCTAGAACATGAAAAGAAATATACTATAGTTTAATTGATGTTCTTCATTCAAAATGAACATAACATAGATACCAGTAGAAATAACAATATTATATTATGACAGAAAATTCACATTTCAAAAATACTGAAATTTTCCTGTATTATCATTTCTTTAATAGATTTTGAATTCTAAAATTTAAAAAAACACATTTAGGTTTTAATTAAATGTAACTGACAACTTAAGATTTTACAGCTTTTTAAATTCAAGCACTATATGTGTATGTGTGTGTGTGTGTGTGTGTGTGTGCACGTGTGTGTGTGTGTGTGTGTGTATAAGCACCATATATATATAACTGCATTTAATCTGCCTGATGTTCTTATGAATAAATATCATTGGTTCCATTCTACAAATAAGAAAGCTGTGGCTTATGTACTTTAATTATCTTGCTTAGGGTTACACAAGAAATAAATACCTCAGTGCCCCAGTTCTCAGTATAATGTCTTGCATATAAAACTACTTAATAAATATTTGTGGAATTAATGAATGTTAGAATAAATTAATGCAAGGAACTGAGATTTAAAACTAAACATGTTCCAAAACCCAAATAGAAGTGAAAGTATAGTAACTGTAAAGCAACTGCGAAGGGCTCTTCTTTAATATTAGAATACAATCTCCAAATGATAACAGAATTGTTGATGCTATAATAAACGTACTGTAACTGAAAATTTTATGTAATATTAAATCACTTTGCATCAAATAAAATGGGTAAATTTTGAGTGACTATTCTTCTTATGGAGTGTTATGAGAATTAGAGTGTTGAGAATTAAAATAATCTAAAAATCAATTAATTGGAACATAAATTATGATATTTCATTATCAAATACAGTGCATTTTGTGCTAAACAGTTCTATGTTATTGTTTCTCAAAGAAATTGGAATGAATCTTAGCATCTATAAAATGTTACATAATTATGCCCCAAACTTCACTAGGGAAAGGAAGGAAAACAAGACACTTGACTGCATTATGAGCCAGGGACACAATAATCACTTAATATCTACAAAGCCTGGGATGCAATATAATGTATTTTGAACAGCACACGAGCAGATGTATATCCACCTTTACAAACACTGGGGAAGCATGTGGGGTGGGTTTGCTGAACACTTGTGCCTTGTTTGAAACGATAAAGCCCAAGATGTCCATAACTGCGCTCCTTCTGACTGTCATAATGCCAGACATTCCAGCAGGATTTGTCCCTTTTATTCATCAAAACACAATATCCCTGGGAGGGCATTACCTCTGGAGTTTTAAGCCTGAGAAAAGATAGAAGAGTAATTGCAGGAATGTCTGAAGAGGACAAAAATACTGTAAAAGAGTTGAAGAGTTTCCATAGACATATTTTCTTCTACTTTTACATTTTTCCTAGAATTTGTCTTACAGATTATTGACATATTAGTCAAGCTGGTCATCTTAGTGGAAAAAACAAACAACAATACTGCCACATCCCTTACAAAAGAAAACAACCAATCAAACAAAAAATGTTATTTTTTGTCTTAAATCACTGCTCAAGTAAATAGAAAAATACAATCCAATAATGTAACTACGTTTTATTTCATTAAACCAACACTCTTAAAAGTTTCAGGGACATTTTCTGTCTGTGGGTATTTTTATGTAATCCATAATTTAAATGATTCTTGCTCAAGATATATTCTTATTTATCCCCATATTGGAAGATTTATTATGATAAAATGATTTAATTTGATTAATATGGCTGTGTATGTATATGTGTGGGGTGGAGGGGGATGTTAGGTATGTATTGTACTATGTATGTCCAGCTACTTAACTAATATCTCTACTAGGACACCTTATGCATATTATATGAGTTTTCTATTGTTGCCATAACAAATTACCACAAATTTAGTTGTTTACACATCGCAAGTTTATTATTTTATAGTTCTATAAATCAGAAGTTCAACATGGGTCTCACCTGGCTAAAACCAAGGTATGCATAGGTCTGTATTCCTTTCTGGAGGCTGTAGGAAAAGATCCATTTCTTTGCTCATTCCAGTTATTGACAGACTACAGTTCCTTGAAGTTGTAGGACTGAGATCCCCACTCCCTTTTTACTTGTCATGTAAGGACAACTCCCAGCTTCTAAAGGCCACCCACATACCTTTTCTCTTGGCTCATAGCACACTTCTTCCATCTTCAAAGCCAGCAATGGTGGGTCAAGTCCCTCTCACATTTTTTGAATCTCTCCTTCTTCTATCTCATCTCTCTGATCCACTCTTCTATCATCCTCTTCCACTATTAAGGGCTTAGATGGCTACAATGGGCCCACCTGGACAATCCAGGGTAATCCTCCCATTTCAAGGTTTTTAACCTTATCACATCTACAAAGTTAATTTTGTTATGTAAGGTAACATATTCACACATGGGATGTATCTGGGTGATCATAATTCTGCCTACCATAGAATGAGAAGCTTAACATGTTTCTAACTGAACTTTTGATTATTTCTATGTCCAAATCTTTGTCATCTCCAATTCCCCTACTTCACTACATGGTTCTTCCACTGACCAACAGATTACATAAGAAATAAAGAAGATGTTCCTGATATCTACTTCTTCCACCTTCTCAATTATTTATTTATTCAATAATTTCAGAAAAGCTTATTTATTTATTCAATAATTTCAGAAAAGCTTATTCTCAATTATTTATTTATTCAATAATTTCGGAAAAGCTTATTTAATACTATGTATGAGGCTCAGCTCCAAGCTGTGAGATACATTGGGATATTAGGTAACAAGGTCCAAGATATGGCATTTAGAGAAAAATCCCTATTCCACTTATAATACATTGTTTCCAATGTATGCAATATCTCAATCCTAACCACCCTGGCCCAAGCCACCATCAACTGTGGCTTAGATTGCTAGATTATGTCTTTATTTTCTTTTCAGTTATTTCCTTTCAGAGAGATCTTTTATAATAGATAAATGACATCATTCCTCTTAATATCCTCCAGTGATTTCCACTGCCTTCAACACCATTCAAATGTTTACCATAACCAAGAGTTCTCCTACTAAATGTTACTTTCACTGTGTTCTGGAATAATGTAAATCTCTCCAACCTCCAAATTTCTCCAAAGCCTCTGCCTAGAGGGCTTCCACTATTATCCACTAGGCTAATACCCATTCATCTTTCAAATGTCCATTTAAACATCACTTCCTCAAATGATTCCTCAAATCACTCCTGAAATGTAAATGAGACCCTCCTGTTATACATGGCAAGAACTCCATATACGTATAATTTATATCACTTTTACTAGACTTAAATTATAGATTTATTAATGTGATTATTTGTTTAACACTTGTCTCCCTTCTTACAAGTGGGAAGACTATGATCATCTTGGCGGAACTACTGAATCCAGATCTATACGGAAAAATATCATTTTTATAAAGTAAAAAGTCGTATTTTGTTATGACCTAGATAAGAGTATGATAATAAGTAAATATCTTTGCATTTTTAATGTTTTGTAGAGTGACAAACAGGGACTATGTAGGTTAAGATGGCGAATGGCCTTGATATATAAAAAGAAATTGCTACCTTATAGAAGTGCTGTTTAGTTTCAGTGTTTCCACTATATATATTTTTCGATATCATTAACTTTGGTATGTCACTTGTTCCCTCTAGGTCTCAGGTATCTCAACTATAAAATAAAAGATGTGAAGTGGAACAGCAGTTTTGAATCTCTTTTGCTACCATTATACATGTTGGAGATGAAATTCACAAACATGGCACAGATCATAAATTATAACATGAATAAGAAGATAGCTGTTGCATAATTCTCTGTAATCTAGTTGCAAAGCCATTATTCTGTTCCACTGAATAAAATATATAAATTTGGGAAATTGGGATTAAAGAAAATTTAAAAGTTTTCATTACTTCAGAACTTTTCAAGTGTCATTAATATTTTAATGAGCAAGGCAAAGTTCTCAAGAGGAGTAATGTATGCACCAGATTTAAAAACCCTGAGTAATAGAAATCCTTTCAAATGAACTATAGACAGAAGTCTAAACTCCTATGCATGAATTAATTCCAACCTACATTTTCAGCATTCTCTTACTATTCACTGTCCTGTATAAACACTCTGCTCAAGTCTAATCAATTTTCTTCATTTCCTTAGGACTCAGCATACACTTTTTGACATTTTCTTCAAGCCTTGCATTGATGATTCCTTATTCACCTCTGAAATTCCAATTCTTCATCCAGTCTTCAAATCCCAACCCCAATTCAATCTCTCCTAGGAAAATGTCTAGCATTTAGAGATAGATCATTTTATAAATTAGAATTTTAACAAATGCTTTGTAACATTACTTTTTTTTTTTTTTTGGTCGCACCACATGATGTGCGAGGGATCCTGTGCACCCTACACTGGAAGCGTGGAGTCTTAACCACTGGACCACCAGGGAAGCCCACATTACTTTTTATTTACACCTTTTCCCCACAGCTATAAGTCTTTTGAGAATAGAAGCATATCTCATAACTCTTCAATTACTGAATTTTTCAAATATACAGAAATCTTTATCTTACAGTGGGATAATTTGTTGAGAGAAAATATCCAAACACATATTCAACAAGGGGACTAAAAATAAATATTAGATGGGGCATTTTTATTAATAGGGTTTCGTAATTTTAAGTCAGCTTAAGTATAAAGTGTAAATAACATATTCAAAGTCAAGTACACACACACACACACACACACACACATACGTTTTGACCCGATTAACTACAACTTAATTCACTGACTGTCTAGCTTCCATGAAAGGAGGTATATTTGATGC